CTTCTCTCTTCTGTCTTTACTGATGACCTGACAATGGTAATTTCCAATATCTGACGGCCTGAAGTTTTTCAGTCGTAAGGACACATTTCCTTTCCTAAGCTTGTGAGTGAACAGACTCGCTCTGTCCTTAAACAAACCCCCTTCTGTCACCTGCCTGTCCTTATACAGGCAAACACGGGCTCTATCATTAGACCAGATGATCTCCATGTCAACCGCACTGATTTCAGGAGACAGGTAACACGGAATGATCAAATCAGACCCCAAAGAAACCTCTGGTTCTTCTGATGTACTGGGAACAAAAAGCTGAAAGTTCTCTGTGAGGAAAAGAGAAAAAAAGATGGACTCACACTTGTACATACACCCTCAAAAAGTAAAGTTCTGTTGTGGAACAAGAAAGATTTTTTTAGCTTACTGTTCAAGACTTCCATCTTGGCATTCCAAATGAGGTGAAAGCAAATGCAAAACTTTTGTTATTTTATAATGTAATAGTAAAAAGTGTTTATTGAGTGATAAATCTTTTATTTATTTACTGTTCATTTATTAATGAATCACACAACGTATTCATGTGTGCACATACCCCATGCTGGCTCTTGTTTGGTTCATTGTGATATGAAGCTCGGCTCAAAAAATCTATAAAGCAGAAAAAAACTGAGCACACTTCTCAAATAAGATTCACACATCACACAGATTATGAGAGATGTGTGTAAAATGTGTAAATAAATTTTAAACTCCATGATCTTATGCATATATTGAGAGAGCAATGTAATAACCCTAACCTAATGGCAATAGAGATACACAGTAATCTGCTTTTAAAGTAGACATTATTACCCACATATTTTCTATCTATAAAGAAATTATTTGGCATCATACAACGCAATCTTTAAACATCATATCACAAAATTCTTTTTAAAGATTAATGCACATTCATATGATAAAGTCAATGATTTTAAGGCAACTTACCTTTGCTTTTGGTTCCCATGCTGTTATCCTAATTGAGATTTACAACAAACACAGTTTCATTTATTTTATTAGGTATTGTACATGTGTATATGTATGAATAGGTTATTAAAGTGCACACATACCCCAGTCTGCTTGTTTGGATGGCTTAGATCTGATTTGATGTACTGTGATAATTCTATAACAAAGAGAAAAACAAACAATAAAAAAAAATGAAAGGCAAGATCCACAAATTATATTTTCAAACTTTTATTGTGTTACATTAGTGATTTTTAACATAGGCCTTCAACTATTAATACAAATGATGATTTTAAATGTCAATTTTCTAAATGTGTAATGCAAATAGTCATTTATACAGAGGCAATGATTTCCAGAACTTACTGTCATCTGTTTCTCCCTTGTAATCCTAAATGAGATAAAAACATCTAAGATATGTTTTCTTTAGCCTGTTTGTCTAAACATAACACTCTCACACACTTGTTTACACTCAGTGCGAACAGTAATAGATACTACAGCACGCAGCAAAAAATAAAGAGAAGTTATATATGCTATTTGTAAGTCGAAACATGATCTGAAAATAGTCTTTGCCAAAAAGGCCACAAATAAATAAATAAAACGAAAGTACTGTGCCTACTTCTCTTACTATTCATGTAGAATATTCAAACTCACTATTCTATATAGTCCCTGAATGCTTCATTTTTGACCAAGTATTAAAACGGGTTAATTTTAAAGAATAGATTAAGGCTGAAATATGACCATATGTGATTCAGAACAGTTTACTGATCACATACTGATGAGGATCTAACATGCCTCTAGATTTCGGTTTCAGTTCAGATTCAGTCCGACATTATTAACGAGCACTGAGCTGATGTAGAGGACTAACTGGGGTATCACTTAAAGGGATAGTTCACCCAAAAATGAAAATTTGATGTTTATCTTCTTTATCTGTTTACACACCTCACGCACCGGATGCCGTGCGCGCGCTCAAGGCAGTTGGACATAGTGGTGGGTTAGAGGTAAAAAATTATATAAATACTGTTCGGTTTCTCGCACAAATTGCCATGCATTATACGACTGATAGACTGCAACGGTTGGATTTAAAAATCTTCGTTTGTGTTCTACTGAAGAAACAAAGTCACCTACATCTTGGATGCCCTGGGGGTAAGCAGATAAACATCAAATTTTCATTTTTGGGTGAACTATCCCTTTAAGGATAATATCAATGTGGTCAACGATAAGCTAGTTGTCTATTACTATCTAAACGGCAGCTCCACCTGTTGGACAGACTACAACTCTTCTTTCTCTCCTAATGCCGGTTTGATATACTTAAGGTATTACATACCTAATCTTCAAGCAAAGATGAATGCAAAATCATACTGAATAACAATCCACAAATCTGACTTCTGATGAAGCCTAGTATATCACACCATATTTGTTCGCTTTGGCCAGAGGAGAACTTTATAATTGTCAAATGTTGAACACTGTTATTGAACTGAATTGAATCAACATTGAACTGAATCAAGCTGAATAATGATTCTTTTCATTTGAGTTTCTTATTGCTGAATTGAACTTTTTTTTAATTGAACTTATTCTTATTAAAGTGAACTTATTGTTATTAAACTAAACTTAATCAACACTGTGCTGGCTGGAGCTGAATAATGGCACTATTGTCTTGTTAGTGCTGCTTTACAGCAGAATTTAAATTTGTCTCATATTTGTCTTAAAGTTGGCATCACTGATTCCATTTAATTCTGTGAGGCTGCTTTGAAACAGTCGCTGTTGTATAAAGTGCTATAAATAAAGGTGACTTGACATTCACACATACCTTATGCTGATCCGTCCCTGAAGCACTGTGATATGCAGAGTGGATTGATAGTTCTTTAATGCAGAAAAAAATTAACCTTTACAAATAAGATCCACACCTCGCATAGATTATGACAGGTGTATGACATAGCATAAAGTAGATTATGACAGAAATAGCAACATGTTTTCTCTGTGCCTAAAAAATTGTCATACTGCAAAACCACAACAGAATGGCTTATTATACATGTCTTTGCTCTTGAGCAATGAAGCATAAATGTTGGTGTTTAGAAAAATATTTCTCAATAGTAACTTAATTCTAAAACAACTTACGGTATATTGCCTCTTTAATCTTGTAATACTAATTGAGATGGGGAAAAAATGTGAAAGGATGTCATGACATAACACTGACACACAACATAGATTCACTTTATTGTGATTCTAAAGTGGTCAAAGGTAACTAAATTATTAGTTATTTTTGTGAAAAACCATTTTGATGAAAAAGCCTGGAATATTTTGCAATACTGTAAAATTGTGTTCCATTATATTTGTTTAGCATTGTAATCTAAAATTCAAGAAAATTAAACAATCTGCCTCAAGTTGATGCAAACGGATTGACATTACAAGTGTCAATCTAGTGATGACCTTTATTTAGACTGTAAAATAGATATTTGAAACCATAATGTGTTAATAATATTACTGTGCACACAAACCCCAAGCTGATTGTCTGAATCACCTTGATGCTCTGACAACACTAGAAAGCAGAAAAAAATTATATCTTCTTCTCAAATAAAATCTGATTCAGACATTCACACACACACACACACACACACACACACACACACACACACACATATACTGTATATATGAACTCACATAATGTTTTTTGAAAGAAGTCTTCAAAAATACAGTAAGTAACAAATACAGTAAAACCAGTAATGCTGCAAAATATTATTACAATTTAAAATAAATGTTCTACTTTATTCTATTAATCTATTTTACTTTTTTCAAATTCTATTTTAAAATGTAATTAATTCCTGTGATTGCAAAGATGATTTTTTTAGCAGCCATTACTCCAGTCTTCAGTGTCACATGATCCTTCAGAAATCATTCTAATATGCTGATTTGGTGCTCGAGAAACATTTCTTCTTATCGATATTTAAAAAAGAAAAAAAAAATCTATTCTTTGATGAATAGAAAGTTCAAAAGAACAACATTTATTTGGAATACAACTCTTTCATAACATAAATATCTTTACTGTCACTTTTGATCAATTTAACGCATCCTTTCTGAATAAAAGTACAGTAAAAATCTCACTGACACTTCTGTCTCTCTTCTGTTTGTGTTTATTTTATGAGAATGACAAAGAGTTTTAAGACAACTTACTGTTGCTTGTTTCTTCCGTTTGGTAATTCTAATTGGGAAAAAGAATTAATTTAAGTTTGTCTGGACAAACATAATATAACACAAGGATTTATTTACAGTGATTCTTCACAATGAAAGAGTCACAACACAACACCTACTTTGACATTTATGTATTTAGCAGACAATGTTTCTGTTGCAAGCCCAATTTTATAAAGAAAATGCTATTTCCACAACAATGGTCGATGTTTATGGGGTAAATTGACACTTTTTGATAGTTTTCCAAATATCTAGGTTATTTTATATGTATGCCTTATTTTTGTGTCATTAAATAAGTACGTTTGTTCATATTTTTCATTTATGACTTCTGAAACACGAACACCACAATCCAACAGTACATACATAAACAATTTTGATTAGGATCAGTTTTGCCAGTTTAGTCTTAGTTCCTCTGTGTCTTCAACCACATCATCTCAGTAAGCTTTACAGTTCCCAAAAAGCCTTGTTTTACATTTGCAAATTTTTCTTATGTTGAATTAATGTTGCTAGTATCCTGTTGTGGCTACTTGCAACTGTAGTGTATTGTCTCTCTCCTAGGTCTTAATTAATTATTAATGTACACAGGTGTATGCCTCCTTTGGCAGGTTTTGTACTTGTAATTTGATTGAGCCTTATTTCCTGTTTCAAGACCAGTGGTACTAGTTTCATGTCCTATGAATCTAGCTTTTCGCTCTTTATTATTTAACTACATTTTGTATGTACATGCCTCTATATTGACTTGTATATTGTATTATACTGTGCAATATCTTGTATGTTATTCTCAAAAAGAATGATAGGTGCTATCTTACCACTGTAAAGAAGTGCTGGTCTTCGAAAATAGCAGAAACTGCATACAAAATATACTGAACTGCAGGAACAACCTACTGTAACTGTATGCAATACAACAACAACATAAAATATTTAAAGTTTTTTAACCAATTAACAGCTAAACCAAATAATGAAAATAGTATTTGAAGAGAACTTACTGCCACTTCTAAGAAAAAAAAAATCTATTCTTTGATGAATAGAAAGTTCAAAAGAACAACATTTATTTGGAATACAACTCTTTCATAACATAAATATCTTTACTGTCACTTTTGATCAATTTAACGCATCCTTTCTGAATAAAAGTACAGTAAAAATCTCACTGACACTTCTGTCTCTCTTCTGTTTGTGTTTATTTTATGAGAATGACAAAGAGTTTTAAGACAACTTACTGTTGCTTGTTTCTTCCGTTTGGTAATTCTAATTGGGAAAAAGAATTAATTTAAGTTTGTCTGGACAAACATAATATAACACAAGGATTTATTTACAGTGATTCTTCACAATGAAAGAGTCACAACACAACACCTACTTTGACATTTATGTATTTAGCAGACAATGTTTCTGTTGCAAGCCCAATTTTATAAAGAAAATGCTATTTCCACAACAATGGTCGATGTTTATGGGGTAAATTGACACTTTTTGATAGTTTTCCAAATATCTAGGTTATTTTATATGTATGCCTTATTTTTGTGTCATTAAATAAGTACGTTTGTTCATATTTTTCATTTATGACTTCTGAAACACGAACACCACAATCCAACAGTACATACATAAACAATTTTGATTAGGATCAGTTTTGCCAGTTTAGTCTTAGTTCCTCTGTGTCTTCAACCACATCATCTCAGTAAGCTTTACAGTTCCCAAAAAGCCTTGTTTTACATTTGCAAATTTTTCTTATGTTGAATTAATGTTGCTAGTATCCTGTTGTGGCTACTTGCAACTGTAGTGTATTGTCTCTCTCCTAGGTCTTAATTAATTATTAATGTACACAGGTGTATGCCTCCTTTGGCAGGTTTTGTACTTGTAATTTGATTGAGCCTTATTTCCTGTTTCAAGACCAGTGGTACTAGTTTCATGTCCTATGAATCTAGCTTTTCGCTCTTTATTATTTAACTACATTTTGTATGTACATGCCTCTATATTGACTTGTATATTGTATTATACTGTGCAATATCTTGTATGTTATTCTCAAAAAGAATGATAGGTGCTATCTTACCACTGTAAAGAAGTGCTGGTCTTCGAAAATAGCAGAAACTGCATATGTCAACCAAGAAAAGTGTTAATTGGACTTAAGGCATGTTTACATTCAACCTAGTCTTAGTGAGTGTACATCATGCTGGTGCAACCGGTCCATCCTGAGTGCAGTTATGAATTGCTTACCTTCTTCTGCTACATTTACTGTTATCTGCTGTGTTTCATTTCTACTGGTGACCCGGCACATGTAAACTCCCAGATCTGACTCTCTGAAGTCTGCCACTCTTAAGGACACATTCCCTTTCTTCAGGTCATTAATGAACAGACTCGCTCTGCCCTCATAGTCAACACCCTGTGTCATCTCTCTGTTCTTATAGGCGCAAATACAAGACATCTCGCCAAACCAAGTAATCTCCATGTCAACAGCACTGAGTGCAGGAGACAAGTGACATGACACAGTGAGAGTAGATCCCGAATTAATCTTAACTCTTTCGCCTCTTTCAGGAATAACAAGCTGAAAGTCATCTGTGAGGGGAAAAGAGACACGGAGAGATTCAAATACCACCTGTGCTGTGATTTTGTTTAAAAGGCTTATTCAGTCTACAATTCAGTCTTTTAAGTACTTTTAATTATTTGTTGAGTTTTGTTGTTGAACTCTGGTTCCTCCATTTATAAAGGTAGTGGCCATCTCGAAAGTATAACAATGTTACTGCTAAAGTAGCAAACATTTCAAAATGTCAAATTCATGTAGTCAGACAACACATAAGGAGCTTACACATTAAAAGCTAAAAAGCCTAGTAATATAAAATACAGAAATATACGAATATTCAGACACCAAAATATACTGAACTGCAGGAACAACCTACTGTAACTGTATGCAATACATCAACAACATAAAATATTTAAAGTTTTTTAACCAATTAACAGCTAAACCAAATAATGAAAATAATATTTGAAGAGAACTTACTGCCACTTCTCGCTGCCATGCTTCTTCTCTAAAACAGGAACAAAACACATTCAGTGAGAGAGAAGAATGATTTCAGTCTCACACAAACCGCTGGCTTAAATACATTGAAAAAAACAAGCCAATAGGGATTTCGCCTAGGGCGTCAAATTGGCTAGAAACAGCCCTGCCTGTTTTCCACTACTCTATACACAGGACAAAGGAAGGAATATTAAAAAACACTTTTTTGATATCCCAAAATCAAATTGTTTTCAAAAACACTATTTCAGTCTATTTCATAGAGAATTTCAGTCTCTCTTCATAGTGAGATATGGGTGAAAACATGAAAACATTTCAGTCTTTATCTCTCTTCATATGAAAACATGTATGGAAATGAACAAGGATTTCCAAGTGGTTCTCAAAACAGTGTTATGTGTTATTTATGTTTACTTTAGATATGAGCTGTGTCGTTAGACTATACGATACTCAATTTAATGAAGAACCTACGTTTTAACCATTGACGAAGGGCGTTCTGTTGGTATGCAGGTGTAGGCTTACATACAGCCCTGCACGGTGTCTTCCTGGATGTGGGGCCCTTGGACAAGAGCAGAACTGATATACTGTATGGTTAATTCAGGCCTGATGAAAGCTCGAGCTGCTGTGACCTTATGGAATAGCGAAGTTTCTAAATTGTAGATTGCATAATTTAGAATCTTAGGAGAAGCAGTATGTCATTTGGGTATTGTTTGCTAACTGTAAAATGAATACTGACTATGAAGACAGTTTAGGCTACTCATTTGACGTACAGCTTTATGTATACTATATAGGGAAGTAAGAATATTTGGACAATCTCAGAAAACGTGTAATACAAAAAATGTTTGCAATTATCAATGTAATCCATCAACTGGGTAAATAAGGCGATAACTATTAGTTATTTTTTTTACCCTATTCACCTGCAGTGTCTCGCCTTAAAACATTTTGTTCTATTGGCTCGTGTCATCATCATTAATATGTAAGCAAGTGAAAGTGAAACCAAACTTGGCCTATGCCTTTGCCTTATACTGCATGCGTATTCTGGACAACAGTATGCAACATTTGTGCTTATCAGGATGAAAATGGTCACACATATTTAACCAGAAAAGGCTCATATTTGTGTGACGACAAGTTAAGGTAAGAATAAAGGCTAAAACCGAGGACACGACTATTTGGCATGGACGTGGAATAGCAAACGCTGTAGCGTTTCCCCCTCACTTTATTCGTCAAACTAATTTCCAAACGTGTTATTATTATTATTAAATTAGGCGTTTTGTCTTCGTTTCCTGTAAGCATAAATTTGTTCAGTTGCTTATTAGAGTTAGGACATGTGATTCTTTAAAAAATAAAAAGATTTTAAAAACGGCTTTAAAGCTGCACGAGGCATATGTCCATAGTTAAATTTCAACTGGGATTAAAGTATCTCACACTGTTGAATTGTTTATGATAGGCTGATAGAGCCAGTGTGAAACAAATTCTTATCGACCTTTCAATCTCAGATTTTCACGCAACACTAAGGAGTAAGCTTCGAACTAGATTAAACCGTGAATGTTTGTGTTCTAACACAACTGCACCAAACCGAACCTGTCAAGCAATCTGTATTGTTAAAAGCGCTATATAAATAAAGGTGACTTGACTTGACTTGACTGTTTAAACCGTGAAAACAGCACAGTTTTTCAGGACTAGGGATCTGTATCGTATCGAAAACAAAATAAGGGGTATCGCCCATCCCTATTCAGGACAGTATCGCCAGGCCTGTACCAAGTTCTTTGCCTGTAGTATCAGACCGGAAGTTAGGGTGGAGATTATAATCACGTGTTATTTTTTTAAAATTATAGCCTATTCTTTTGTATAATATTTGGACATTTTTATTCTTTAATACCGACATAATAACATGAATCAGGTCATATCAGTAAAATAAAACTATTCATAAACTACATTTAAAATTATTAATATAAATAAACTTGGAACTCTCTGGTTAGTCTGTTTTTCTGTAGTTAACATTCCCTTTAGTCTTTCAACATGCAAATACAGATGGATGCTCAGATGTTTACATTACATAGAGAATTATAGGCCTATGTATAATTGTTTATACACTGTACCTGTTGGTTCCTATACACACCTGCTGCATATGTTCATGTGATCAGTTCATATATGCTTTACTGGATTTTGTGATCAGAATTCATTAAATATCAGAAAAACAGAGGCTTTATTCAAGGATGTTTTGAAATAAGCTTTGCATACAGTAAGTAGTATTGAGTGGTAGGTTCGTGAACTGCAATAATTGATTTGCATTTTTATCATTTAGTCATTCGCGCTTGTGGTGACAATAGGGTATGCATTAATCATGAATGGAAGACAACCGAGTAGATTCAAGGAGCGAGAAATTTGCTTGTTACTACTGTAAGATCATCAGATACCTTTATGGAACATTTTCCTCAGATCTGAATTTATTCTGTACTACCGAATGTGTTCATTTTTTATTTTCTTTCATTTTGCTGGACTTATTTTGCAGTGTGTGGTGCGATCCACATATTTCACTTAACAGCTGAGAGGCAGTTTAACCTAGAAAATCTTATTGGACATCCGTGAAGAACAATACAGGTTAGAAACACAATATCCACTGTTCTACTGCTAAACTCATCTATATAGACTGTGTTTCTCTGTGTGTCTGACAACAGAATCTTGCTGTGGAAATAAGGTCAGTGTGTTGGCAGTGATGTGAGTGATTCTGTGGTGTCAGATTCTCAATTAATGTTTTTCTGCCCTTTTAGGAGAGGAAAATGGCAAAAGCAAACAAAAGTAAGTTCTAAAATAATTCTGTGGTATATTTGTTTTTTTTTTAATTTACAAACAATGTACAACAGTGGTACTTTAACTAGTTTAGGAGAGAAATTGACAAATGTCTTTTGTTTGCAAGAGCTACATAAAAAAAAAAACACTTATTGTAAATCTACTGTATCAAACATTTTTATTTCCAGTATAACAGCTAGATGCCACTCACTAAATTAAAAATGCAACATGAGGAACTCAAAGTATACCAGTTTTAAATGTCTATGGTTGAATGCTGTTTCACATAGGCCTACTATTTTTTTAAATAGTTATATAAAGTGTATACTGTGCGGTTTCAGTATCTCATATCAAACATATCCAAACATGAAGCATTTTAAACATAGCAAGTTTGAAATATTATGACTGTATACTTGTCCCTCTTTTCCCTGACAGATGATTTTAAACTTTCAACTGACAAAACTAGAGTTGAATGGGGCTCTGACATCATTGTGCCATGCCACCTGTCACCTGAAATCAGTGCTGTTGACATGGAGATCAAGTGGCTTAAAGAGACAGACTGTGTGTGTCTCTATAAGAACAGACAGATGTTTGAGGGGAGGGGCTACAAGGGCAGAGTGAGTTTGTTCACTGAGGAGCTGGACGGAGGAAATGTGTCCTTACAACTGCGAGACTTCAGACGGTCAGATGTAGGAGTTTATCTGTGTCAGGTCACCAGTACGGACAGAACAGAGGAGATAACAATAAGAGTAGTATGTGAGTATTTTATCATTTCATTCTGTACTGTATTATCTCAGCACACTCCTTTTTTAACAATCTGTGAAAACATCTCAATTCATAACTAAAATTATTAAATGTTTTGGACATTTTTCATTGTCATGTTAACTAATTTAGTTTAACTAATATTAATAAATGGAACCTTGTTGTAAAGTGTTACAGGGTGGCTTTTGGAACAGAGACACACTAAAAGGAGCACTAGTTGGAGCAGGAGCAGCAGGAGCAGGAGCAGCAGGAGCAACAGGAGCAGAAGCGGCAGGAGCAGCAGGAGCAGCAGCAGTAATAGGAGCAGCAGGAGCAGCAGCAGGAGCAGGAGCAACAGGAGCAGAAGTAGCAGGAGCAGCAGCAGTAATAGGAGCAGCAGTAGCAGGAGCAGCAGGAGCAGCAGCAGTAATAGTAGCAGCAGTAGCAGGAGCAGCAGGACAAGCAGTAGCAGGAGCAGCAGAAGCAGTAGCAGTAACAGCAGGAGCAGCAGCAGTGATAGGAGCAGCAGCAGTAATAGGAGCAGGAGCAGCAGCAGCAGGAGCAGGAGCATATTTCTTCAAACCAGAAATCTTGACAACTGATATGGTAATTGTACAAATTTAACCTGATTAGTTACTCTGTACTGTGTATCGACTGTTATCAGAGATTCTGTCTGTCCAAAACTAAGGAAAGACATTTCATAGACAACTCTCACGACAAAGCAAAATATTGTTCTGCTCATTGATCTAATTTACATGCTACTGTGCATCAAACAAAACTCCTTCATAAATACCTTCTAAAATTTGATGGCACCACACAAATTTAAATTATATAAATTATTTGGACTGTTTGATTATCACAAATTAGAAAAGCAGGAAACAACTGCTAAATCAAGATCTTGAGAAAACCTATTATGATGTTTTCACTATTGGATCAACGTTTGTGTGTTGCTTATCCCTGAAAAATTGGTTGCTGTGCCTCTGTTTGACTTTACACAACTGTAAACATCTTCGATATAAAGACAAATGTCTTTATTCATTTCTTTCTGTAAAGTAGTACAGAGAAACTTTAAAGCAAGATGAGCAAGATGGCGGCGCGCATGAGTGCAGCGGCTTTTGGCTCACCAGTATGGTGCTTGTGTTTCATGTATGTCTTTGTGTGTATGCTCATTCCTGGTGACTTCAACCAGGCTTGTTTAAAGACTGTCCTTCCAAAATGTTCACAACATGTAAAATGTGCCACCAGAGGAAGTAACACACTTGATCGTGTGTCAAGCATGAAAATTGGTTGCTGTGCCTCTGTTTGACTTTACACAACTGTAAACATCTTCGATATAAAGACAAATGTCTTTATTCATTTCTTTCTGTAAAGTAGTACAGAGAAACTTTAAAGCAAGATGAGCAAGATGGCGGTGCGCATGAGTGCAGCGGCTTTTGGCTCACCAGTATGGTGCTTGTGTTTCATGTATGTCTTTGTGTGTATGCTCATTCCTGGTGACTTTAGCCAGGCTTGTTTAAAGACTGTCCTTCCAAAATTTTCACAACATGTAAAATGTGCCACCAGAGGAAGTAACACACTTGATCGTGTGTCAAGCATGGCTATAGAGCTGTGCCTCTCCCGCATCTGGGTCTATCTGACCATGTCTCACTGTTCCTTGTCCCAGCCTATACTCCCCTCAGGAAACGGATGAATCCAACTACTAAAACCAATAAAACCTGGCCTGAGGGAGCACTATTCCAACTACAAGACTGTTTTGCTAGGACTAAATGGGACTTATTTAAACACCAGGATGTGGCAGAATATACACAAACTGTTCTGTTCTACATTGCCAGCTGTACTGACATTGTCACTGAGGAGAAGTGCATCCGGGTTTTTCCGAACCAGAAACCCTGGATGACGTCAGAAGTCTTAGAATGCTAAGCTGGCCTACAAGAGGAAGATAGAGGAACATTTTACTGGCAACAACACAAGGCGGGTGTGGCAGGGAGTGCAGCACATTACGAACTTCAAGGGCAGCGCCACCACTGGCTGTAACACCAGCGCATCACTGGCAGAGGAGCTAAACTGTTTCTTTGCGCGTTTTGAAATGAAGTCTCCACTCCAACATACATCTCCTCCTGTTTCAGGCACCCAGACACTGACTGTACAGGAATATGAGGTGAGACAGGTGTTCAGGTCAGTAAATCCAAGAAAGGCTGCAGGCCCTGATTGAGTGCTTGGAAAGGTACTCAAGGCCTGTGCCTACGAACTTGCTGCTGTCTTTACAGACATTTTTAATCTGTCCCTATCACAAGCCATCGTACCAGCCTGCCTTAAATCAGCCATTATCATTCCCGCCCCTAAGAAGCCTGCTGCAGACAGTTTAAATGACTACAGACCAATTGCACTTACATCTGTTGTTGCAAAGAGTCTAGAGAGACTGGTTCTGAGGCACATTAAAGCCAGCCTCCCTCCCACTTTGGACCCCTACCAATTTGCTTATAGGGCCAACAGGTCTACAGAGGATGCTATTGCTACAGCACTCCACAAAGCTCTGGAGCACCTGGAACACAGAGGTACATACGTCCGGATGCTCTTCATCGATTACAGTTCTGCGTTCAATAGCATCATACCGGACATTCTTATGAGGAAACTCCTTCACTTGGGCTTTTCTGCTCATCTTTGTACCTGGATTATGGACTTTCTCACTAACCGCCCTCAGTGTGTTAAGCTCGGTCTTCACCATTCCTCCACTCTCACTCTCAGCACCGGTTCACCACAGGGATGTGTGCTGAGCCCACTACTCTATTGCCTTTATACCTATGACTGCACCTCCACACACTCCTCCAATCACATTATAAAATTTGCTGATGACACCACAGTGATCGGACTCATTTCTGGAAGTGATGAATCTGCCTATCGTGACGAGGTCAGGAAATTGACGTTGTGGTGCTCTGAAAACAACCTGGTGCTAAACACAAGGAAAACTGAAGAACTCATCGTGGACTTCAGGAAGTGCAAAGCTGACCCCCTTCCCATCATTATAAATGGAGACTATGTGGAAAGAGTTTGCAGTTTTAAATTTCTGGGAATCTATTTATCTGACAGTCTCTCCTGGTCCACAAATACAACAGCGGCTGTTAAAAAGGCACAGCAGCATCTGCACTTCCTGCGAGTCCTAAAGAAAAACCGTCTGTGTCAAAAACTATGGTGGCATTCTACCGCTCTGCCATAGAGAGTGTTTTAACATACTGTCTTGCGGTGTGGTATGGTGGCTGTTCAGGAGCTGACAAAAAAGCTCTACAGAGGGTCATAAAGACTGCGCAGAATATCACTGGCTGCCCTCTCCCCTTACTACAGGACATTGCAAACACTCAGTACCCATCCAGAGCAAAAAACATTGTTAAGGACTCCTCTCACCCCGGTCATCATCTGTTTTCCCTCCTACCTTCGGGAAGACGATACAGGTCAATCAAAACACGCACGGCCAGATTTTCAAATAGTTTTTATCCAAGAGCCATTCAGTCCCTGAACTAAGGGATGCTTTGCACTATTTATTTATGTTAATTCTTGTGGACTGTGCAATAATTTCTGTACTTAGAACTGCACTTTATTGTCTTACCTGCATCATTCACGGTTTTTACATGGATTTTGCTTACGTTATTGTGGTCTATGTGTATGTGGTTATCATATTGCAGCACCTCTGTGTGTAGTCTCTGAAATTTCATTGCATGCCGATGCAATGACAATAAAAGCTTGAAATTGAAATTGAAAAAACAGAAAAATTTCCACACAAAAAAACTAATTCACAAAATATTCCCTCACAAGATGCTTGTCAAAAAAAAAATTAAAGAAAAAAAAAACTGTTATTGTTATGTTATTGTTGTTACACAATTTCACAAACTTGTGGGTAGGTTATGTGTGTTATATTGCAGAGGATATAACACATGGCTGCAATGTGGCATATCATGCTGGAAAAAACTGGTTTGATTGTTGGTCATTTTAACAGAAAATGTGTATTGTGTTTTCATGTCATGCACACCATCATATACAAACATATTTACACTGTTTTCTTCACTTCCACAGATACACAAAGCATGGAGTAAAGAAGAGAGAAGGAAAATGACAGAATCTTCTCTTTTGGCAGGTGCGTCTAACATCAGATAGAACAGAGATGGTGCATTGGAGTAGATTGTGAGCAGAATTTATAGCTAAAAATCTCCTCTAAAATTGAGCATTAAACATATCTAGCAATGCAGTAAACAATGTCAAATAATTTTT